CGGCCTTGCACCGTAGTTGCCGAAGAATGGACTGAGACTGATTGCCCAAAACGTGTTCTTAGACTACCAAGACAATATTCGTTGCATACAATGTCCTTCAAAGGTCAAGGTCAAGGTCAGGTCAGGTCAGGTCAGGTCACCAAAAACAAAATATAAAAAAGGGCATATGCGACACATGTTTTATGGTTCATTTTACTCATAGAATTCAATAGGCACACTCAATAAGTGATATGGACCACCTCTGGATGAATTTCAGGTCGAGGTCAGGTCAAGGTCAGGTCAAGTGAGGTCAAATTTTGAAGTTGGTTGTTAAGGCCCAAAAAGGTGTCTATCTGATGCAGTTTTTCACGGCGAATCGAATGGTGCTATTTTAGTTTCCGTACGAGGTCTAGAACTTCCAAAAAAATCATTTTTCAAAAATTTTGTGTGTCGTGACGTCATAAAATTTTGAATAACTCCCACATTTTTGAACCGATTCTTCTGAAAATTGGTATGTAGATGCACATTGACCACTTCTCTGACATATATTCCGGTTTTTTCGATACACTCAAAATTTTAAATTTTATAACTATTTTCCCAAAAAAATCAGTTTTTTGGAAAATTTTGGGCCAAAATCCAAAATTTTCAAAAAACCGAGATAGCCATTTGATAGACAACGTGGAATCACGTATAACCTTTTTTGTTACGTCTTGATTCCTTTAAAAATGAAGATGTTAGCGGCGTTTGAAATTTTGCCGTTTTTGAGGCGAAAATGGCGAACATGACGTCACTAAAACGTCAATTTCTCAAAAATTTTCCGACGTATTTCGTTCAAATTTTCAGGGAACGTGTCAAATTGATGTATAATAAGGTACTGAAAGTTTGACGTCGCTGGCGTAACGCGTTTAGAAGTTATTGGCGAAAAACGGGAGGGGGGGGGCAGATTCTGCCCCCCCCCCAGCGGGGCGCGGGTTAAGTCATTTTGTTTTTGTCATCAACATAAATTTTAATATTTCCCTTGTTGAATTATGATGGTGAGGGAGGTCACGTCATTGACCTAGCTTTACGTGAACTTCTAGAAATTACGAGACATAAAAGTTGCAAGGTCTCGGAAGAATATGAAGTCATGTGAGTTTTATTAATCTGCAGAAGTTGACCTAGCAATGGCGGAGTTGCCAAGCCGCAATATTTTGGGACCGAGTGAAGTCTTTTATGACGTCATAGGTCAGTGACTCGACAAGAATTGAAAATGTAATTGGTCGTTGGTGTCACCAGAGAATCGGCTTGAATCAAGTCAGGTGTCAGTGTGCTATTTTTCAGCTTTCAGGTTTCCTTGTTGAGAGCAATCGCAAGAAGTCTGGGGTAGGTAACACCCGTCACCCTCATCTATGGAAAATTATGCTTTTGCGGAGCGACCTTCAAAGCTAGCGCGCCCCATGCACTGTCGTGTTTTCAGCTTGCTGTCGGTTTTCCAATATATGGAAGCCAGTTACAGGCGTCTCTTAGTCTCTCATTGGTCAATCGCACACACCACGTGTGGTTCATCAACGACTAATGAGAAGATGAGAAACGCCAGCAAACTGACAGCATGCTGATTTGGTGATCAAACAGCGCCCTGACCACACCCCTCCCATCTATCGCTGACACCCTGCTCGGTAACTCGTCTCGAGACGCGACTGAGCCAGGCCCTTCGACCGGTTACCGCCGCCGGCATAATTCCGCCTGATTCCGACTGCACCGCTGGACACCACACTGCGGCGAGCGACCCCGCTGTCAGACTCGGGCCGAACGCACCCCCTCCCCTACCCCCACTCCAGCTGTGGCGAGGGTGAGGGTATTCACCGCATCAAACCTACAGGCCGCCTGGACCCTTCTCTTGAGACCAATAGTACAACCAAGCCCTCAGGACTTTACAAAACCGCTTTGACCAGAGTGGTGAGGTAATGCCAGAGGCACGACAAGGTCGGCGACAATGGCTTATTTTTCACGCCGAATCCGATGGTCATGGTTATATGTAACCCAAAGTCACTGTTCTGGTCATCAGCAAGCATAAAAAGTCGTTCGATAGGCGTTATCACAAGTGTATTCGCGGCCATTGGGGCGACGTAAGAAAAGAAGAAAACAACTGGCCCCAAGAACTTTAAATTATCAGTTAGCATGCACCTTTTCCTTGATCTGTAGAGAATTTACCATTAATTGCTAGAGAAAATTGCATTTAAAAATCTTCCATCTATGCTTTTTTCATCGTTTGCACAATATGTTCTTTTATTAGGCTAGAAACACTAATTAGAAATAGTTCCCGCATCATCAAGAACAATAGGGAAGGCTTGAAGTGAATACAATAATCTAAACGGTGTTGTAATCTATGTGAAGACACTTCTAAAATTGCCTGTAGAAATATCGAAGGCAAAAGTTCAACTTTTTCACAAGACGGATGTCTATAAACCTATTCAACGTGTGACAACTCAGCCGGTATTTCGTCGCCTACAGCCCAGCTTTCCCTAGTGACCGATAGAGGCGCTGCTATCGATGTCCGCCCGTGCCGCCTAACGTTATATTATACGTCAAGAAAAAAATCAATTTTTCATTTTTTTATTTTGACATAAAAATGCACTTTTCTAGACGAGGTTTGTCCCAGGAATCTAATGCTGCCATTTGTTTTCACATGCGATGTTCAGAAATGGCTCAAACTCACGAAAATGCGCATGACGTCACCATGCCTTATACCTACATGTTGGAGCTATTTTTTTACAATTTGGGGGTAAAAAATCAAGATAAAAAGTCCAAATTTGAAACATGTAAGGTTCTAATAGAGCTCTATAACATAGATTCCGTTTTTTTAAGGTTTTTAAAAATTTTGATTTCATTAGCTGTTTAAAAAATAGTCTTTATTAGTTTTTAGGGGTCAAAAACGCACTTTATGGGAAAAGCGAGATAGCCATTTTAAAGAACTCATTGAGCTGCGTCTTTTCATGTCTTTAATTTGCAATTTGCTTAAATCGTTGATTTTTCGCGATTTTTCAAACATTTACCATTTTTTGATAAAAAATCCATGTAGTTACATCAATAAAATCGATATATCTCAAAAAAGTGTTTGAAAAATTTGCATAAAAATTTGACAAAAGCCGTCAAATTGATGAAGGAGAAGGCATACGAATTTTCAGGTTGATAGCGTGAGGCGTAAGCGGTTCGTGAGTTATTCGTGAAAAACGGGGGGGGTCGGATTCGACCCCACAGGCGGTCGCGGGTTAACCTTCCAGGCGGTGGGGGGCATTTCCCCCTTTAGTTTTTTTCGATATATCTCCAGAACCGCTGCGCCGATCGTCACCAAACTTTCAGTTCCCTCCCGGGAGTAGCTAATGCACATTGTGACCAAACAATTTTCCCAAAGCTATGATAGGTTGGCTGCAAATGACGTCAGAGTGACGTCATTTTTGTCATTTTCGAACAACAAAAGGTTTTGCGGGAAGAGCTGTCAGGCCTACAGCTTTGATTATACAGAAAAAATGTAAAAAAAACATAAAAGGTGTAGAATTACCAGCGCTACGATACTGCTATCTCGAAAATTTGAAAATTTTGGAATTTGACCCCGCCCAAATTTTTTTTTGTTGATATAATGGCCAAAAAACCCAAAAGTTTTTCGATTTTCGGAAAAACCGGAATATATGTAATAGCCCCTAGTGACTTCTATTCACATACTAAATTTTAGATCGATACCTCTTTTTTTGACCAAGTTATAACGAACAAACTGTTCAAAATTGATCATGTCAAATTTTCAAACTCAATTTTTAGCAATTCTAGACCACGTAGCGCAAAACAAAGATCACAATTAGACTCGCCGTGACAAGCTGCATCGAATCGATACCCTTTTTATTCAAAACTATCAACTTCGAAATTTGACCTTTTTTACCTGACACTGACCTCCACCAGAAAGTGACCTAAACCGTGCTTGATGGTCTTATAATAACACCATTGAGCTGGAAATGAAAAATTGGCCATAAAACATGCATCGCACAACCCTAGTAAAGTTAGGTTCATGTGCTGACCCTTGGTGACCTGACCTCTGACCTGACCTTGTATCATCAGTGACCTTCAATAGCAACATATGTAATAGGCAACTTACGCCTTATCGCTGATTTTCGACAAAATGCGTTTTATGACTCAATGTTGTAGCGCATTCCGTAGAATACCCGCGGACGGTCAAACATTTTATCTTTGACCTGACCTGTGACGCCATCGGTGACCCCGAGATCAACGAAATTAGGTTTCGTTCGACAAATTTGACAGGGCTTTCGAACGCTGTTCGAACTTTACGGATCCGTCCAGTAGTTTCGGAGATACAAGGGGGCAAAAAATGCCCCCACCGGCCACCGCGCGGAAGGTGGCCGGGAGGCCCATCGCCCCTGCCGGGTTAAGCTTTTTGGGCCTTATGTGTTCCCTCAAAGGACGACTGAGGGTCCTTCAAGACTGGTGTGGGGTCCTCAGAGGCCGTCGTATAGCCCTTAGAGACTGGCGTGGGGTTCTTAGAGGCCGACGTAGGGCCATTGGACCTGCTTTGAATTCAGCCTGAGAGTTCTGAGAGGCATAAGACAGGAGTCAATAAGCCCACTATTGAGTGATGCCAAAGTTAGCGTACAGTTATCATCAATACTAAAAAAACACAGTTTGGGCGAGTTAAAACTTATACTAGAAGTGTACTTTTCCATAAAAAAACTACACTTGCTCCCGGTCAAGGCTCAGATCTTATTCCGTGTGTGTTGGTGAAAATTACTGGGACTATTTTAGTTGGAGGTTTTCCGCAAAGAACTTACTGCAAGTGTAGAGAAAAGCTAAGTAGATAAATAAAAAAGAATCCTGATTTTAAAGTGTAGAACTGCCTCGAGATCTATCTAGTTTTATCCAATGATAACTAACTAAATTCACATATTTAACTGAGTTAACACGGATTCACGATGATATTGTTGATGGTAACTCAATTGCTAATCATTACCTTATAAAAAATGATATAATGAATTACTTACCGAGCCTCCGGCACGAAGCAGAAGATAGTTGATTCAGTCTCCAGCAGACCAGTAGGTAAGAAAGATTCCCTCGATGGATACAGTCACAGCGTCTGAGGAGAAGTGCCCCACCCGGGAGACCCTTCCTGTCCGCCGACGTTCTACTCTGTTATCGCAGTCACCTTTGATAGCACTATCGTACCATGGTCAATCTATCAGCTCCGTGCAAGGTCCCGACGCCGGTGGCATGATCATGATAGAGCCTGTGTCGTGGTCTCGAGAACCGGTGTCAGGTCGAATATCTTGACAAAGAACATTTTTAGACTTAGGGTCAGTGCTTCCGAGTCAGAGTCGGAGTCAGAGTCGGATCGAACGACGTTTCCGGCCCAAGGCGGAGTAGGAGTCGACTCGAGGCTGCTAAGCATAAAGTAATAGTATTGTCTGTTACTCAAAATATGCTAAGCTCGTTTTCGACCACTTGCGTTTTACGGCACATGCTGATTGCGATATTAATCCGCGCCCCCTACTGAGGGGAGGCTATTCATGCCCCCCAGTTTTGAAATGCGTCCCCAGGGGGGGGGGGGCAGTTTGCCGCGCACAAAACATATCCGTCATTTATCTTACCAGTATCGTGTTCCTCTCGTCGAGACGCGTCGAATGAACCATAAGTTGACCTTAAAAGGTCATTTTGAAAATTTGACCTCAGGTCAATGTCATGACCTGACCGGAAAGGGCCTTGTTTCATATCATTCGATCCGTATCGTCGAGCTTAACACATCCGACGTGTTTTCACCGCTCTGGCACGTCTCCCAAAAATTCGTCAAAAAACGGCTGGTGACCTTTCATGACCAGAGATGACCTCAGGTTCATACAGAGGGGTGACGGGTGCAATATTCCGATTAACCCGCGCCCTGGTAGGGTCTGTTTATAACGCGACCTGGTGGGGGGGGGGCTATTTTTTGCCCCCCCCCCTCGTATCTCCGAAACTACTGGACGGATCATCAAAATTCAAACGGCGTTCGAAAGGCCTGTCAAATTTGTCGAAGGAAACCAAATTTCATTGACCTCGGGGTCACCGACGACGTCACAGGTCAGGTCAAAGATGAAATGTTTCACCGTTCACGGGTCTTCTAAAAAATGCACTATAACACCGAGGAAAACGCCTTTTGTCGAGAATCAGCGGTAGGGCGTCAGTTGCCTAGTAGATATATTGCTATTAGAAGTCACATTGCAATACCAGGTCAGGTCACATGTCAGGTCACCAAGGGTCACAGGTCAGGTCACATGAGCCCAACTTTACTGAGGTTGTGTGATACATGTTTTATGGCCAATTTTTCATTTCCAACTCAATGGTGTTGGTTATAAGACTATCAGGTACGGCTTAGGTCACTTTCTGGTGAAGTTCAGGTCAAGGTCAGGTCAAGGTCAGGCCAAAAAAGGTCAAATTTTAAAGTTGATAGTGTTGCATAAAATGGGTATTGATTCGATGCAGCTCGTCACGGGGAGTCTTATGGTGGTCTTTGTTTTGCGCTACGGGGTCTAGAATTGCTAAAAATTGAGTTTGAAAATTTGACGTCATCAATTTTGAACAGTTTTTTCGCTATAACTTCGCCAAAAAAGAAGAGGTATCAATCTCAAATTTGGTATGTGGATGGAAGGTGGTAAGGACTATCACATGTATTCCGGTTTTTGCGAAATTCAAAAAACTTTTTGGATTTTTCGATTATTATATCCAAAAAATCTATTTTTTAATTTTTGGGGTCAAAATCCAAAAATTTCAAAATCCGAGATAGCAGTTTTGTAGCCCTGTCCAATCTACAGCTTTTATGTGTTATCATTTTTCTGTATTTGCAAAGCTATAGGCCTGACAGCTCTTCCCGCGAAACCCTTTTTTGGGTCGAAAACGGCAATACATGACGTCACTCTGACGTCATTTCCGGCCAACCTATCATAGCCTTTGGAAAAATTTTTGGTCACAATGTGTAAAATTGATGTCCGGGAGGGTACTGAAAGTTTGGTGACGATCGGCGCAGCGGTTCTGGAGATATATCGAAAAGTCTGGAGGGGGGGGGGGGCAAAAAATAGCCCCCCCCCCCCCCACCTGGTCGCGGGTTAAGTTTGTTTCAGATTGAGGAACATTTATTCCACATACGAACATACATTTATCATTCGACACATTACTTGTCCTGGCCTTCATCGGCTGGTGTGTGTGGTCCGTCCTGCCGGGCCGAGAACGGCGCCGGTAACATCGGCTCGGACCGTCCCGGCCCCGGGGAGATCTGTTGGTTACCTCCCCGTCTGGGGAGTGCTATAGATTACCTCTCCAGAGCTGAGGTCCGCACGGGCCGCACCCCCGCCCGCGCCGCCCCGTGATACACCTGCCACGGGGCGGCGCCCCTGTCACCGGCCGGGCCTGCGACGCGCCGGCTCGCTTGAGCGGCGCGCCGCAGGCCTGGCCCGCCAACCGGCCCTGCAACAGTGCAAGGGCCGGTCGACGGGTTATCCCGGAATCATAGACAAAGACCTGCATACATAACACGTAGTTTTTTTTGCATAACACACAATGTGATAGTAACACAACAACACAACCTCTCATCGTCAAATCGCAGTGCACTTTCACCTCTTATCAATGCTCACGCAACGGCACCCAATATGTAATGAGGAGTACCACCTGGGAGTTTTGGGGTGTTGTTTTGGTGAGCTCCCCCTGGGGGTGTCATGCGGAGTCAGGATTTTTCTCAGTGTTTACCGTTGCGTTTCATGCTCAGCGACATCAGAAACGCTCCATATCGGAAAAGAACAAAAGTTTATGACGTCACTGTGATGTCATCATAGGTGTTACAACCACCGAGCTTTCCTCAAATATGTCTAGGTATTTATTTGAAGCTATGCCAAGTTTCAGCTTCGTAATTCGGTTTCGGAGATATAACATCAAACGTAAAGGGGGTCAACTTTATGTACCCCCTCCCAGTAGCTGGTTGGTTAAGCATTACTGGTGTTAGTTTAACCCTCGCATGTGTGCGGCGTTTGCCAGCTTCTAATGTGTAGGGGGGTCGGTTGGACCCCCCCCCCTTGCCGTTTGGCCCCTGATCGAGCTACAGCTTCGCGGAAAAAACGAGCGTGTTGCCCGTGACGAGAGGAAGCCGATGATACCCAATTTTAAGGTCCTAGGTCATTGGTTGACCTTCCAGGTCAGGTCAATGACCCAAAGTCGGGAAAATCGGGACCTGTTAGAAAGTCGTAAAGTGTGGCTGCTAAGGGGTTTTTCGGGGTGCTGATCACGAATATCGTGTTAGTTTTGATCACAGATGATGTCTTTAAGCATTTAGACCAGGTCGGGTCAGGTCAGGTCAGGTCAACCAGTAGGCGTCGTGACGGGTATTCGTAGTACGTGTCAACCGCCTCTGACAGCTTCGTAACATGTTACGAAGGCACCAAAACTACTTCGTAAATGTTCAAATGGTTGCTAAATTCGAATTCAGCTCCAAAAACTAGCCTAGAAACATGTAAAACTCGAAAAAGTGATCCGAGGTCACCCGAGGTCACCAAAGGTCAATGACCTGACCTGACCTTCAGGTGACCTTGACACCCACCCTAATGCATGGAAGCAACATCAAATCGCATGTTTGAACGTTTGAAACCACGAAAAGCTTGCAAACGCGCGGCTAATGCGAGCCGACATACGCAAAATCGCGATTCCGGCCAAACATGGTCTCGGAAAAGAGGTCACAGGTCAAAGGTCATTTGGGTCAGGGTAATAAAATTGTCAGGGTAGGTGTAAAATTGATCAATGTGAGGGTACTGAAAGTTTCGTCGCGATCGGCCGCTTTTTACGCGAGTTATTCGCGAAAAACCATGGGGGGGTCCATCCAACCCCCCCCCCTACACATGCGAGGGTTAATAACAAAATAGCTATTACCGATAAACAACCAATAAATGTATACTTCGTTTTTGAAAGTATTGACAAGCGTGAAGTACTTCGATGTCCTGACAACACTGGATCCCGACCCGCTATGTTGTAGGAATGTGTATTCACTCCGCTCATGCGCCCCCATCCTCCCATCGCTGGGCGTCAACTCACCAACGCGCATGCGCAGGGAGTGGATGAGTGGGGGAGAGGGGGATAGCCTCGGGCACGTTCTCCCACCGACAGAGAGAGTCGAAGACAGTAGAGTAGAGTCAGTAGAGTAGAGTCGACAGTAGAGTCAGAGTCGGAACGGGACGGTGTCGGCTTTGGGACAATTGCGGTGTGGTTAGAACAGAGCCGGACCGATCCACAGTGAGTAGGTATGATTTACGGCTGAAGTAATGACACCTTTTTAGAGTTGGTAATATTACAATTGTGTCTTTTAGATTAGTGTAGGTACTTCATGGTGTGTCAAAAGTGGAAATAGCCGCCCGGCTTTAGTTCGCCAGCCTTGTCAATAGATGGCAGTACCACAATATGGGCAGCGCATCGTGCAATTGACGTCAAATTTTCGTTATCTGCTAAGAATTGAATGGCGGATCTTTTTATGCAAGAATCATGTAAATCGGTCCACAACTTTTCTAGCAACAGATTATGAAGCCAAACACCCTGCCAGAGCGGCGGCGCGGCGGCCGGCGGCAGCCGTGCAACTGATGGGTCAACAATATTTATCGTTCGAGGGCGGATACAGTTTTAACAATACAAAAATATTTTTACACAGCTCTATTCCTTGAATAATTCTCTTCAACGCCTCATTCCTAGTTAAACGAATTAGCCCACCCTGGTTGAATAAATAAGGCGATTTCGCCACAAGGTCGGGGAGAACCGACCGAAAACGGCCGCGCTCAACGTTAATTTGGGCATGCAGACTCTTAAACCTCGCCCTGGCAGGGGGGGGGGAGGTCGATGCGACCCCCCCTAAGGTTTTTCGAAAATAGCGTAAAAACGGCGGCGCGCAGCGCCACCAAATTTGGCACAGCCTATGGGGCAACCTTTTTACATATGACCTAAAAATTTCAGGTCCGGGTGACCTTGGGTCAGGTCACCAGGTCAGAAAAACCGGTACAAGGTCATGGTCAAATTTCAATTTTCTTTTTGCACCTGTCCAACTCACAGTTTTTGACTGATTTCCTTCAAACTTTCAGGATGTGCTAGGTTCACC